TAACAAGATAACAGAGGACCCCAAAAGTCATCGCATATCCTAACCTCCAATAAAAGCTGAAGTGAAAACCTTGGGGGCAGGGCGCTCCTGGCGTTCCCCACACCTCCCACGCGCCTTCTTAACTGAAGTCCGCTGCGGGCGTTGGCTGTGGCTTGCTGGTCAAGCGTCAACTCGCGTTGAGGAGAGGGAGGGGAAGTGGGAATAAAAACTGCATTTGATGATCAGGAACGGGAAATAAGAAGGGCGTCGAGAAACCAGGAGCCAGCAGGAGACTCGGGGAGGGAGTGGAGGTGAAGAGTGTTGCGAGGTGCAAACTTCACGAGGGCGAAGCGAAGCCTCAGACTTCCCAGAAACGCTACTTTTGATCTATGTAGGTGCCCTTCGGTGAATCAACCACGTTTCTAGTTTATTACTAACATATTTTATGCACTTAACCAAAAGTAGTCCACTTAAGTGTTTGAGCTCTTTTACACGTTTGCTTGTATAAACCCTTACTTTCGTAAAGTTCGTATTTTTGGAATACGTAGTTCAAAACTCTTGTCCTTCGAGCCGGATTCGAACCAGCGACCTAAGGATGTCTTGTTCAAGAAGCCTACAGTCCTCCGCTCTACCAACTGAGCTATCGAAGGACACACAACTCTTTGGGCTTTAGAATACCTAAAATAATGTGTATCCTGAAAGTTTGTGCATTTTCAAGTCATGCTGTATTAAGGAGACTCCCTTTTAATTATATTGATACTCATTTTTTAAACCACAACCGGCTTTAAAGCAGTCTTCTCAGACGCTGGAAGTATTCTGTATAATGATATAGATAGTTGGCTTCATGGGTTTATAAATATGTAAAAGGTTATAAATATGTAAATATATAAAAGGTTTTATATTGAAAACATTAGGATATTTATGTATAGCTCAAAACAAAAACTTTACTGGAATCCCCTGTCCTCCTCCGCTAGATGCATACAATCCCCCAGATTACGCCACTGTCCTGCTGTTCTGTCTGATTAACTCCTCCTTTCTCTCTCTCTCTCTCTCCCTCTCTCTCTCTCTGTCTCTGTCTCTCTCTCTCTCTCCATCCCTCTCTCTTTCTCTCTGTTTTGTTTTGGTTTTCGTTTTTGCAGACGGAGTCTTGCTCTTGTCGCGCAGGCTGGAGTACAGTGGTGCGAACTCAGCTCACTGCAACCTACGCCTCTCGGGTTCAAGCGATTCTCCTGCCTCAGCCTCATAAGTAGCTAGGGTTACAGGCGCCTGCTACCACGGCCGGCTAATTTTTGCACTTTTAGTAGTACAGACGGGGTTTCTCCATGTGGGCCAGGTTGATCTCAAACTCCTGAGGTAAGGTGATCCCCCCCTCCGTCGGCCTCCCAAAGTACTGGGATTACAGACGTGAGCCACCGCGGCCGGCTCCTTTCTCTCTTACAAGTGTCTGGATTTGCTTGATAAATGCTATGGTTGCCCTAAATACAGACAACTGGGTTGACAAGGATCCCAGGGTTGTGAACAAAGCATTCTGGTATCATCGCAGTTCTCCTTTCTGAAAGTCGAACGGTAAATTGTGTATATTCCTAACTGCAGTGATGAAACGGGAAGTGTCATTTCTGCATGTATGTGTAAATTTGAGTGTATATTACATAATCATGGTGAAGCAGTTAAAATGAAGCAAAAACTCTTGAAAACTTTAAGTGGAAATATAAATATTCCTTTTTCAAAGTAAATTGTCCAACATAAAGAGAGGTTCTGTGGAGGCTGCTGTCTTCTCAGCTTCCTTGTACCTACGGGACAATTATGTTGTCCCTTAGGACAATGGAGAACATGTTTAAACTATCTGGCAGGAAAAGGCTTTAAAAAGAAAAATTCCAAGATTTTCTTCAAATGGCAACTGCTAGTGCCATTTGAAGTGTCAGAAATATTAATAGCATACAATTGATACTGAACACTATAGTTAAACCCCTCCCATGAGTAACTACAAAAATAGTATGTACTAACTTTCAGTGTTTCTAACCTAATAGAGAGCTAGCAGCTAGAGAGGAGGGATCCTAGGATGTGGACAGTCTCTTTCGACATTACTGTGTGTCCCATATGTGCTTTGGACAGCAGGTGGAAAAGCTACAGAGATTCCAATAAAAAGTGACATTTCGAGGCCGGGCGCGGTGGCTCAAGCCTGTAATCCCAGCACTTTGGGAGGCCGAGGCGGGTGGATCACGAGGTCAAGAGATCGAGACCATCCTGGTCAACATGGTGAAACCCCGTCTCTACTAAAACTACAAAAAATTAGCTGGGCATGGTGGCGCGTGCCTGTAATCCCAGCGACTCAGGAGGCTGGGGCAGGAGAATTGCCTGAACCCGGGAGGCGGAGGTTGCGGTGAGCCGAGATCGCGCCATTGCACTCCAGCCTGGGTAACAAGAGCGAAACTCTGTCTCAAAAAAAAAAAAAGTGACATTTCAAGCCGGGACTGCTACAAAATTTTTGTCTCTGTTAGGATTAGTGGGGTGACACCTGGAGAAACAGGAAGACCCCGGAAAGGAAACAAGAAAGACCAAGGTTACTTTCCCATCTCCAGCCTTGGAATCTCTAGCCTCCTTTTTGGCAAGTCTTACCCATAGGGTCAAGTGGTAAAACAGAGTCCTATTTCCTGTATCAAAAAGGGGATTAAAGAAGGGATTGAAGAGCCGTCTCATACATTTCCTTATATAGATCTTTACATGCTTGAGCATAAAGAGTGATCTAACACATTTTCTTGTCTAGATCTTTATTTTTATTTTTGGAAAGTTCGTATTTCTGAGACTTCAAAACTCTCATCTGGATTCGAACCAGTGACCTAAGGATGTCTTAGCTTAAGGAAACTACAGTCCTCCACTCTACTAACTGAGCTATCAAAGAACACATGATATTCTATTCTCTAGAATGCCTAAAATAATGTGCATCCTGAAAGTTTCTGGGTTTCCAAGTTTTGTTGTATTAAGGAGACTTGTTTATTGATGTTCATTTTTTTAAACCACAATCGGCTTTAAAGCAGTCTTCTCGCTGGGCACCGTGGATTACACTTGTAATCCCAGCACTTTGGGAGGCCGAGGTGGGTGGATCACCTCAGGTCGGGGGTTCTGTAATATCCCAGACAGTGGGCAGGCTGAGGCAGGAGACCCTGGGAGGCATAGGCTGCAATGAGCCAAGACTGCATTACTGCACTCCAGCCACGGTGACAGAGGGGGACTCCATCTCAAAAAAAAAAGGTAGAAATTTTTCAGAGCTGCCAGGCAAGAAATTAAAAAAAAAAAAAAAAGGTAGAAATTTATTGCCCACAGTACTGGAGACTGTGAAGTCCAAGATCAAGGTACCAGCAGATTCACTTTCACTGATTCAGTATGTGGTGAGACCTGCTTTCTGTTTCCAAGATAGGGCCTATTTGTGTATTCTCACATGGCAGAAGACATGGAAGGACAAAAGGAAGAAACACTGTGTTCTCATATGGCAGAAGAAAGAGAAGCCCTCCCCCCAACACACACACAAAAATGGCAGAGCTCCGATGGCCTAATGGCTTCTTAAAGTCCCCATCTCTTAATACTATCTTATGAGGTCTTAGATTTCAGATAATGAATTTTGGAAGGACAGACATTCAAACCACAGCATGCTGCTATGACAAAATACCGCAGACGCAGTGGCTTAAAACAACAAATGTATTTTCTCACAATTTTGGAGGCTGGGAAGTCCAAGATCAAGTTGCCAACTGATTTGGTTCTTGGTAAGGGCTCTCTTCCTGGCTTGAAGATGGCCATTTTATTGCTGTGTTTTCACATGGTTTGAGTACTCTGTCTCCTCTTATAAGGACACTAAGCCACTTTAAGGGCTAGGGATTCAACAAACCATTTCTTTTTCTTTTTTTTCCTTTTTTTTTTTTTTTTTTTTTTT